GAACCTGGGAGCTGTGCCCAGGTCAGCGGAGGCACGGCCGGGCCTGAGCAGCAGCGCCTGCCCCAGAAGGAACCGCCGGAGTGACGTGAGAAGCTGGGCGGAGACGCCACACGTGGACTTTCCTACATTCTCACTGAGACCTCGGAGCCTCCACTCCTTCCTGGCGGATCCCAACGACTTTCAGGAACACTGTGCGCCATGGCCCCCCCAGCTCAGCTGGGTGTTTAGTGAGAACACGCCTCCCGCGGGCACTGCGAACAGACTGGCCACGTGCGTCCCTGGGGGGGCTGCCCTGCCCACACTCACTGCTCCCAGCCTCTGCCCACCAGCCAGGAGCGCCCGGCTGTGACAGCCAGGCCCCTGGGGAAGTGCCCCCTGGGAGACCCCATGACCCGGAGGAAATGCAACACCAGGAGATAGAAAAGTTGTCATCAGCCAAAGGGCGCAAAGCTCTTTCAGGCTTAGCAGGCGATTTAATTCTAAAATACACAGCAAATTCATCGGTCTGAGGCACTTTAAAGCGAGAGAAATGTTATCATCTTTTCAGCTTCCTCTCTGGCGTTTAAGATACGCTTTTGGTTAGAACAGGCTGCTGGTTGCCAGGTGGGAGGGGTGGGGCTGGGGGAAATGTGAAGGGATGAAAATGGGCAAATTGGCAGGCGCAGAATCCTCACGGGGATGTGAGCACCGCATAGGGCGCCGTCAGTGACGCTGTAACCACTGCGCGTGTTGGGGGGGGGGGTTGCCAGCCTCAAGGGGATCACCAAGTTACACAAACATCTCACCACCATGCTGCACTGAAGCTAACGGAGTGGTGGATGTCAGTGTGACTGAAGAAGGAAAGACGATACTGCCTCGGTTATACAGTGTATGCAATTACCAGGGGGCACTGGCCTGACGATGGAAGCTAGTACTGTCTAACTCAGCTTTCCAAACTTAACACAAAGTTACCAAGTTTAAACCACATTTTAATTTAAAAATGTCCAAGAAGCACGTCTCCAAGGGCTGGCTGTCCTTGTGGGCCCTCGAATGTGGGCGAGAGCCAGGGAGACTGACAGCCGGGGGGTGGGGGTGGGGGGCTCTGCCCCTCTGCCTTTCCTAGGGCGTAACGAACACTCGAACACTCGAGAGACTAAAATGCGTGTCCTCCAAGGGCGCCAGCAACCGCCAGGAACAGACCCGACCACCACCCACAGGAGCCACGCACCGATCTCCCCGTTCTCCATGGCCCTGATGTCGGGCCGCAGCCGGCAGTCTGTCTTGGGAATCACGCTCTCCATGTCCTTGTCGATCTCGTTCAGCACCATGGCGAAGCTGGTGAAGTTGTACATCTGCAAGAAGCAGGTGCCACGTGAGCAGGTGCCAGGACACCGGGCACCAGGGAACCGCGGACGGCGGAGCGGGTCTGATATGACGGGGACCCGCCTGTGTCAGACAAGGACCGTGCCCGTCTCCACTGGCGTTGGGGCCGCCTGTGGGCATCAGCCCGAAGGCACCTGGAAGCAGGCCTCACAGAATGAACACCCCATGTCGCCGCCAGGTTAGGCAGAACTATCAGCACCGTCAACATTCTCTCTACGGTCGTCATGGAAATCATTCCCTGCTGGCCCGCAAGAGGCTGCGTCCACTCCACCCAATGAAGCCAGTGCCACTCCTAAGGAATCACCAGCCCGCGTCCCAACACCTCTGCCCGGCCAGGCACGGGGGATGCCCGCACAAAGTCCTGGCTCTCAGGGTCAGGGTGAGCGGGAACTGCACCCCGAGCCCATGAGGTGGGGCCTGTTGGGACCCCTCCCCCCTGCATCCCGCCAGCAGGGCCTGCACACGCGGGAAGAGCAGCCTCGGGGCTGAACGTGGACAGCGAGGCCGTGTCCGCAAGCCAGCCTCACCTGCGCAGAGTTGGGGGGCCGGGGGGCTATCCGCCACAGGAGGACGCTCCCGGGGATGACAGACACGCTCTCAGAATCGGGCATCGGCATCTCGTCCGACTCCTCAGACGCGCTCACCTGGAGGACCCAGCAGATGGGCGGAATCAGAACGTTTTAAAGAATAACTTACCAATTGGAAAACGCACCATTTATGCACTGCACCCCCAGGACAGACCCTGCCTGGCACTCGGCCTCGGCCTTGGGCGTCGGTAAAGCCACAGCCATCAAGCCAGGAGCTTGGTGTTTGCAGCCTCAGTGGCGTTTGCATTCAAGGCTTTACTATCACCACCACTTCCACTCTCGTATTTTCATGTTTTTAAAGTTTTGTGTGTTTTTTAAGGCAGAATAACTCAGTTGAGTATTTACTGGAACATGATGAGGACTTCATGCGCAGGTTATATTCTGGGGGCAGTTAACGAAATGATCACTGACGTAAACCAGCAGACAGCCCGAGAGCATGTGACCAAAAATGAATCCTGGCGATGAACACGCTTTAAAAGGAATCCTGGAGACAAGTGTCTGTTCGTTAAAAAGGTTCGAGGACTCTGTCGTTTATACGTTGAGTAAAACAAGACTCGAGGAGGAAAGTCTATGCGTGAGCAGGACAGAAACAAGGTCAGACTGATACCTGGGACAGGCCTACCCCTGGGCTGAAGACGTGGCCCCGACGCCACCTTCCAGGAGGCTCACCTGTTTGCTGTGTTTCTTCTCTTCAGCGTTTTTCTTGTCATTTTTTTTGAAGGCGTCGAACGTGGCAGGGTTGACGCTATACAGACACTCAGTCCACTTCCCATAGAGGGCACACAGCTTCTTTTTGCTGCCGAGAGATAATAGACTCAGCCAGCAATCAAACCAGAGCTCACCTATCCCTGACTGTTATTATAAAGCAGCTTATTGTCAGACTAGAGGCCCGGTGCACAAAAATTTGTGCACTCGGGGGGGAGGGAGGGTCCCTCAACCCAGCCTGTGCCCTCTCGCAGTCTGGGACCCCTCGGGAGATAACGCCCTGCTGGCTTAGGCCTGCTCCCGGGTGGCAGAGGGCAGGCCCAATCCCTAGGTGCAGCCCCTGGT